ATATTGTTGTCAAGGCAGGATCTCGTGAGGTAATTGTGATGTATCCTGATGCTCGTCACACGCTATACATTGAATGTCTCCTCGCACGGGAACTTGGCATGGATAATATGGCCATGCAAACCGTCCTTACATATGTGGCACATCTCGGCGCAGGGAAACCTGCCAAAGTTTTCGGCTATATCCCCGAGTACAAGGGAAACCTCAATCTTTCAGACGACAGCAAGTTTCACCCGCGCGTACATCTAGCACTACAGTATCTCGTGCGAAACTACTTCCGAGTAGAACATGTAGTAGCAGTTAGATTGGCCAAAAGTGTGTCAAGCCTACCTGCAGTAAAGTACGCCACCGGGTCTACGCTGATCCACTATGACAACGATATCAGCCCGGCTTCCCACTACTACGAATGTGTGGGCACCGGCCTAAACATTTCTCAGATCACTGGTAGCACTCATTCCAGACTTATTCAATGCTTGACTTCACGTGTCCCTTCCTTAGGATTTCACGACGACCTGGCTAAATATCAGCACTCAAGCAACACGTCTGGAGAACACGATTCGCCTGGTAACAGGCCTCCTCCAGACACCCCTGGTGCTTCATCGCCGAGTGAAGGCCGTCTGTCGACAATCTATGAGGAAAATGAGGAACATAATATCGAAGCTATGATGCTGGAAGAGTGGTACGACGAACTACGTATGGACCTTCATCCTACGACGACTACCGACGATTATCTCTACTGCGTCCCAACAACCATGCTGCCTGACCAATGCGTTTTGGTTTCAGCACCTGTGGACGAAGAAGATATCACATCATCGGACACGCTCGGAGACGAGCCTGAACCACGAGAGTCCTGTCTAGTCTCTCTCTGCTCAACCACACCTGACGAGAGCTACTCTCTTGATTGTGATGAATATGGTCCTTACGTTGAGTTATGTTTTACATCAGAAATGTCAAAAGTAGTATTGGATCAGACTCAACTTGCACAGCTCGACACCGATATGGTCGCAACGATGAGAGTATATGTATCCTCTGCTGCTAAACGTGCTGTGGTCGTTAAAGAAGATGATCTACTGACCAAAGCCGACATAGCAGCACATCCAAAGGAGGTTAGTGAAGCTTTGTATACTGAGCTCAAAATCTGGATTGACAACCGATGCTTTGAGATGCATGATTTATCCAAAGCTTCCAACATCATGACATCCAGGTATGTATACAAGTGGAAGTTTGTAAAGGTGGGTACCGAGAACGTTAAAACCATTCGTCTCAGACTTGTCCTTCGTGGATTTATGGATACTGAGGCTTTCGATGTAGAAACATTCTCGGGAACCGCCCGAAGGCAAGCCCAACGACTCCTGGCAAGTGAGGCGGCATGCCATCCAGAATGGATCTTATCATCCATGGATATCGACAAGGCGTTCCTCAAGGGTTTGACCTATGAGGAACTTGCCCATGCCACCGGCGAGGAAACTCGCATGGTCTGCTTCACTCTTCCACCGGGAAGTGCTCAGGTACTTCGTACACTACCCGGCTTCTCATCCTATGACGAAAGCCGACACTGCCTCAGATGCCTCAAACCAGGAACGGGTACAAAGGACGCTCCAAGAGCGTTCTCTCTCAAACTTCGTACGACCACACGAGCTATGGGCCTTACACCGACCAGTTATGACCCTGAATTTGAATTCAGCCAAGATCTGCTAACGGCAAAACATGTCGATGATATTAACATGACTGGCCTAGAGAAAAATATAGACGACTATGTACAGCGCGTCGAAAAGGTGTTTGGCACATGCAAGCTCAACAAACACACATATACGAACTGCGCCGTTCGCTACACTAAGAATGATCAAGGGGATGTGATCATGGATCAGGACGAGTATATCAAACAACTACGTCCTATCACACACCAGAACTTACAGGAGCGGCGGCCGATGCCAAAGCCACGAAACTCATTACCGACATGTTCGTCAGCTTGCGAGGAGCCCTCGCCTATGCCCTTCTTATTCAAATCTGGCTCATGGTATACGTGGTCTCTCTCCAGAAAATCCAAGAGCCCACCAATCTGCAAGTCAGACGCCTGAATGCTGTGACGCGAAAGCTGATCAGCAGCCCGAAACGCATCACCTTCCCTCGGATGTAGCCGACGAATGAAGTTGACATCCACAGCGATTCGGGGTATCGGAAGCTTACCGGGGAGGAGGATGATGAGACCAAGGGCTACGGCATACGCGGGGCGATTGTACTACGGCGAGGAAACTCGCGTCAAGGCAAGTCCGTCGTTCACCTCTGTGACGGACTATGCAAATCACACCGACTGCAGGTGAGGTCCAGCTATGCTGCGGAGGCACTCGCAGCGGCGCATAATCTCGATGAGTGTTACCCTACGCTCATCACTCTCCACGAGCTCAAGGCAGGAGCTCTGACTCCACGACAACTACGAGATATGCGCGAAGTTGGAGGCCTAGCCATCAAAGTATCTCTTACCATAGACGCTGAGTCCGTTTATAAATCATTATCAAGCAAGGATCTTGAGATACCGACAGAGCGGACTCTGCTTGGACATATCAGTTGGATACGTGAGCTCATGGATATAGGTATAGTACATAACGTGCAGTGGTGTGATACTAGGGATATGGCCGCAGACGGGCATACAAAGGGAAGCATCGATCGGGAGCTGCTTCTGGAAGTGATGTCAGGCACTCAGTCATTCAAGTATGACGTGAAGCAGTTTGTTCCCTTTCGGGGTCCCGAGGACAGAAACAAACCCAAATCTAATCAATTTTAGTCTGTCCTTGTTGCCCCCCCCGCGGTCAAATTTGCCAGCATGGGCGCCTACTACAGAGGCGCCCTTCTAGTTGCTCGGAAACGAGCCTTACATTTCGCGCCTGGCAACGAGCCAGCTTTATATGACTCAGGCTCTTTGCCTTAATACATATTTGCTCAGTGAGGTATGGCCCGTTTGGCTTACCTCTAACTGAGCCGATAGCCCTTCATCGTTCGAAGGGGCTATCTTGAATTTGCGTGAAATGCCTTGCGAGGAAACTCGCCTTACAGTCTGGTGTTAGGCCAGACTGTACACACTGTTTTTTTTCTTGCAAACAGTCGTGCGCGCGGCCTTTGTAGAGCCTAACGGCTGCGCGGCTATGCTCTCCGTCTCCTCCCCTCCCGACTTTGAAGGTAGCTCTTTGGGAGATGTTATAGTATCGGGAGCATAGCTCGCGCGCTGTTGCCTTTGGCTCAAGGCACGCGCGCCCTATTTGCCCGGACACCGCGAGTGTTCGCTATGTGCTGGAAAGACCGATACATCGATCTTATCCTATCTTATCCGTCCATTCCTCTTACGGAACCACGTCAGTACGATACCGGACGCTATTTGCCATCCGATGTCTACGGAATCGGATGTTATTTGAGTTACCAGGCTCACTTTCGACTCGTTGGGGGCGTCTTGGGGGCATCTTCGGGTGTATGGTGGCCATTCTGCCACGTGTTGGAGCCATCTGTGGCGACGTCGAGGCCATCTTGGGCCTTCTGGGAGCGGTTGGGGGCAGTGAGAGCCATCGGAGGCAGTCTGGGCCCCGTCTGTCCCCTCCAGACCGGCCGGAGTGGCCAGCACCCTCACACGGCGAGGACACCCTTCATGGTTCCGTGGTTTGTCGTTCGACCCTTGTCCTCTTGAGGCCATACCGTGGCCTCTTCGGCGGGTAGCTCGGAATCCTTCGTGGTTCGTGTCTCGTGGTTCTCCCCCCCTTCCCCCAGACCCTCCCCTGTCTTCCCTGGGCCTCGTCCCTGACCGAGCCCGTTATTCGTTGTCCCACTGCCCCCCCCCAGGTCCTCCTGACCCTCGCCACTCCCTCGCGCAAGCGCCGGGGCACGCGTGCCACCTGTTTTCGTGGTTCGTGGTTCGTGGCTCGTCGTCCTGCGTGCGCACCTCATTCTCCCCTCTCTCCTTTCGCGGCTCGTCCTCCCTCATGGGCCCCTCCCGTTGCCCACCACGGGCACGAGATTTCCGGCCCCTGGTTCCTCCCCTGGCACGGACCCTCTTCGTCGCCCTCGCCCTCATGGGCCGAGGGTCCGAGGCCTCACGTGCGGGGGCTGGCTTTAAAAGTCGGACGTGTCCCGCTACCAGAATAGTGAAAAATAGTATGGTGACGATTTTTCGTGTATTTTTGTTTGGCTACTTTTGTTTTTTGTTGGCAAAATCCGCCTGTGGGAGGACATGCCCGGCGTAAGGATGGCTCACTCGCGGATCGTGCACGACTTGGCCGACAGCCCTCCTCTCTGGCCCCCCCAGCCAGGAACCCTGTGTTTTTTTTGCAGAGTTGGGCTCTCCAGCTCCAGCTCGAGGCCTTGCCTTTTCGCCCTTCATCGTCGTCGTTCGTATGTCCGTGCGTGGTCTCCTTGGCCCCCCACACACTTTTTCCCATGATGGCCCGAAGAAGGCCCCAGGAAGCCCCCAGGATGGCCAAAGGTGGCTCCATCGCGCCGCGCCTGCTGCCTCCTTGCTCGTGCAAAAACTATGGCGCGCGTGGCACATGTTTCCGCCATCGGGGGTGCTTGCCCCAGGGCGGCTGGGAAGTTTCCCCCCCCCCCAGCGCGCCACCGCAGCGGTGTGAGCTTGCCAGCCGTCCCGCGACAGGCGTCCCCAGTTGGCGGACGAGGACATGCGATATTATGATGTTTTCCACCTTCTCTCCTTCCTCCTCCTTCTCCTCCTACTTCTCCTCCTCCACCTCCTCCTCCCTATCTCGTACCCAAGACATGTGATGTCTTGTTTGTTTCCCAAACTGGGTTCCCAGAAGCCTCGACGCTTTCCCAGGGCTGGCTTCTCAGCCCAGGTCGTTTTGCGACCGTGCCGAGGCCCTGTTATCGGGCCCCCAGGAACCGAAAACGCTTCGTTTTGGATGCTTCGAAGACGACGACGCTAAACAACGATAAACGACGATGGACCTACGACGAAAACGACGACAATAAACGAGGTAGACTTCGGAGGTCTGGGCAGTGCCGTCCTTCGCCCGCTGGTCCGTCGGCGGCTCCGTGCTCGTAGGGAGCTTGCTGGGGCCGGTGGGCGCCATCGGCGGTGCCCTGGCCGGCGCCGTCGTCGGGTCCAGGGCCGGGGCCGCGGCCAGCGACGCGGCCTGCGACGCCGTGGAGTCCTGCGCCGACGACGTCTGCGACAGGTGCGGGGGGGTCGGGGTCGCCCTTCCGCGGGTCAGCGCCACCGCCGCCGCCGCGGCCTCCGTCGTCGTCGTCGTCGTCGCCCTCGTCCTCGTCCTCGCCCTCGTCTTCGTTCTCCCCCTCGTCCTTTCCCTCGTCCTCGCCCTCGTCTTCGCCCCCCTGTTCTTCCTCGTCCACCCCTTCTCCCTCCCCCCCTCTCCCCTTCCTACTTCTCCTCTTCCTCCCCGTCCTTCTCATTCTCGTCCTCGTCGTCCCTCCCCCCGCCCTCCTCCTCGTCTTCCTCCTCCTCTTCGTACTCTTCCGTCTCCCCTTCTCCCCCTCCATGGCCTTCGATGGCCTTTGAAAGTCTCGGAGAGATACGCGGGCGCCTTCAGAAACGTTCGCGTTGCTGGTAGTTTCTGTTTTTTTGCTTGGCAATTGTTGGCATTGATAGCGTTGCAATTGTTGGCGTTCATGGTTGCGCACACTTATGCGAGAACTGGGGCGCCTCAAAAATCTACAGACGATGACCGGAAGACGCCCTGGAACTCTTGGGAAGCATTCTGAGCCACTCGCATGACACCCTTCTCATTTTCATTAACATTTCTTGGGTTGACGGTGGGCGGATTTCTTGGGTTGACGCTGGGCCCCTACCCACATCCCTCGCGACGCCTCCAGCGCCGTCGCTGGCGCGCCCAAGCGCGCCGGAAAGGCGTTTTAGGGAGGGGGGCTCAGCGCCGACTTGAGCAACCCAAGAGGGCCTACGAAAGCTGGTACTCATGCTGTTATCTGGTCCGTGAGGAGAAGGGAGTTTCTCAGGATCCCGACCAGCTTATATGGCGCCAGTTTCTGAGAGGCCTTTCGTAAGCCGCCAGGCCTTTCCCCGAGAAGTTACCTGCCTTCTGAGAAGCCCTCCAACCTTCCCATAAGGCCGCGCGCCACCATCCGGCTCGCCAGGCGATATATGGCGAACCTTGACATAGACCCTCGGCCGACTTATCTGGGATGCGTGCACATTTCCATACATATATATATATATATACATGAAGACATGCGTACTTATGACGGAGATCTCGGTCACCTGAATACATCGGAGGACTCCTGGAGGTCCACAAAACGCTCGAGAGCGCTCCAAGAGCACACAGGATGGTCTCGAGCGCTCCAAGACACACCGATATAGCTTCAAGACGATCTTCCCAAGAGGGTCCCGAGGAACCAAACACATACATGTTGTCTCGGATTTTCAATGTTTTAGTTGTATCCCCTCTCCGAGCTTCCGATGCTCCAAAACGGCCCGCGAGACTCAAAAAAAAACACCACAAGTTTGCTCCGATAGGGCCCCAAGACGGCACCGCCCAAGAGGGATAACACCAACCGACAATTCCAGCCTTCGCTCCCAGGGCGCCCCAAGAGGCCCCAAAGAGGTCCCAACCAGGCCTTTAAGACACCCCGAGATGATACTTAGCTACCGTTTTTCGTTCATGATTGCCCTGATTCCCATCTTCGTGCCGCATGTGTGGAGCCCGATCGATTCGCGACGGCCCCAGGGCCCGAAGTCGGGCGAGGCATCGCCCGAAGTGACACAGAATGTGCAAGGCCAGGACCGCCAGGAACGGCGGCCCCGTAGGTGCAAGGCGGAGAGCGCCAGGCGCTCCACCCAGAAGGCCAACTGGGGCGGCGGACGCCTCGGCTCCGCAGACGACGCGGCCACGCCGCTGGGCGGTTCGGCCTCGCGGGCGGGCGCGCCCCCCGCGCAGGGCCCGGGCGACGAGCCCTCGGCGGCCAGCAAGGCACCGCTCGGAGGGTCAGAGGAGGAAAGGCTTCGGGCGTTGCGTAGCTCGTGGCTGACCCGGGTTTGCGTTGACCCGGGTTGGTGTTCCCCCGATTGTCGACGTCGGGGCCTTTCCTGGAGGACGCTCTGGCCAGACGTCCGCCGGGAGTCCACCCGTGGCGTCGAGGAGCCTCTTGGCGGCCCAAGACGGTCGGCAACCTTTGAACGGAATTTCTCTCCCCGAAAATGGAACCGCGATCATCGCGCATTGGTCGGGCGTTGCGTAATGGGGGGCCGACAAATCGGGAGGCGACGACAGGTTCACGAAAGGTGCGCGCTCCCCGCCCCCCCCCCCTCCATTCATCGCCCCCCCATTGCGCAACGCCCGAAACGGTACCGATACAGCCACCCCGGTCCTGTTTGGGCCTGACTCGCCTCGAACTCCCAGTCAGAACGAACACCTGGAGACGTCTGGGGAGCAGTGGCATTGGTACCCTCAGGTTTCCCCAGGGCGAGGCGTGAACCGCCCGCCCGCTCCCCGATCCGCAGAACAGTCACGGCGGAAGGTTTTCTGTTGTTTCGGCCCCGGGGTGCCCTCGCTCGGCCCCAAGAGTGGCCAGGAACGATTCGGGGCGGAAAGCCGGTCCCGGGGAAGGGTCGGGGTTTCTGGGGAGTCTCACTGTCCCGAAGTCAGGGCATGGCGTCAACCGCGTGCCCGCCTCGCACGGTCCATCTCTGTCCGATCACCGATGTTGGCCAGCACGATCCGCTTCGATCCCGATGCTCCGACGATCCGATGCGTCCCGGTGTTTGCGCGCCGATGTTGCGCATCGGAGTGCAGCCGATCTGGTCCGATTCCGGTTCCGTGACGATGCGGCCCGATCCGACGCGCGTTCCGTTTCAATCCGATGTCCCGACTCGATGTTGATTGTATGGGGCCCAAACATATACACCACCACCGCCTCACTCACTCCCTCCCTCTCCCAGGAAAGAGGAACGGAATAGGAGGGTAGAGGAGGGAGGAGGAATCGGCGTGGTGGTGGTGTTTATTCTTGGGGCCCGCAGGTTGATATTGCCCTGATACCCGCGAAAGCAGTTACGGCCCAAGGTTTTTTCGCTATGCTCAGCCACGGGGGGCCCTCGCGCGGCCCTAGGCCCCCCGGGGCGCGGGATTCCTGGGGCCTTCCCGTCTTCGTTCCTTTGGCGTGCATCCGAGGCCCAGAACGGGGCCGTGCTCCTCATTTCACGCTGCCCCGCGTTCAAGGTCGCGCGCGTGGGAGCGGAGCGTGTAGTGAGTGGGGATCCTTGCCCACACTTTGACTGCATGCGCCCATCCTGTGCCCAGGGGCCTTTGCAGGATCGGCGCAGGCATATGATATCACACCTGCATCTGGCCTGACCTTGCCGAGGCCAGTGTGTGTGTGTGTGTGCGTGCGTGTGCGCGCCTTATGGCCAAGCCATGAGGGCGTATACGGTATACGCAGAGCATGCGCCGATCCTGGGCCCAGGATGGGCTCGACTGGGATCGTTGTGCGTGTGTGCGTGAGTGTGTGTGTGTGTGTGTGTGTGTGTCTCTGGGCTCCGACCTCCGACGTCGTGATTTTTCCCAACCCTCCTCGGTTGGGTATTCGTTTTGACTAGAGCACTGCATTCGCGTCCTTCCTCCCGCCTCCCTGCTCCTGGCCTCTCTTCGCCGTCGATAAGGGGCTGCGATCTGCGAAACTGCCGCCACTTTCGAGGGCATCTGGTGGGCCCAGCGGCGAGTCCAGCGGAGTGAGGCACCGCGCAGATCTGAGCGGGACCTCGCCATCTCTGGGGGGCTGCGATCTGCGAACATGTCGCCACTTTCGAGGGTTGCTAGGGAGGCCAGCAGAGTGGGTACTCACCGCGGATCAGAATTAGACCTCGCCATCCCTTGGGGGGGGGCGCTCTGCGAGACTGCCGCCACTTTCGAGGGCTGCTGTGGATGGCAGCAGAGTGGGCACTCACCGCGCATCAGAATTCGACCTCGCCATCCTTGGGGGGGTGCTGCGATCTGCGAGACCGTCGCCACTTTCGAGGGCTGCTGGGGAGGCCAGCAGAGTGGGTGCTCACCGCGGATCAGAATTAGACCTCGCCATCCCTGGGGGGGGGCTGAGATCCACGAAATTGTCGGCACTTTCGAAGGTTGTTGGGGAGGCCTGCAGAGTGGGCACTCGCCGCGGATCCAAAGTAGACCTCTCCATTTCTGTGGGGTTGCGATGTGTGAAACTGTCGCCACTTTCGAGGGCTGCTGCGGAGGCCAGCATCATGTGCACTTGCCGCAGAATCAAATTTGACCTCGCCGTTCCTGGGGGCTGCCCTTTCCCCAACGACTCAGGGGTTCAACTTGTTAATGCTTTTCACCAAGCCCTCATCCCTTAGTCGGGGACCCGCGAGCCTTACGAATGCCGTTTGCAGAAGTATATCCTTCCATGCCAGGTCATCACCCCGTATAAAGTCTCCCAAGCTAATCATACCCCGCATTGCGCAGGGGTTGGGTATGTCGCCAGGGAAATTTCTCACGTGGGCCCCTGGAGATCTCGACGCCTTTCCCGGGGCAGGCTCTCCATTACGAGTCATACTTTGACAGGCCCGGGCCCGACAGTGGCCCCCGAGGCTGAGAATAGCCGAAACGTTCCGCAGTCCACTCTTCACGACGCGCGGGGGTCAAGGGTTGGGGGTTGGAAGTCGATTCCCAGACCTGTCCTGGGCTCGCTTCTGGTCAGAGCTCTGCGGGGAAACCAGTCGTGGCGACGAGAAGCTTCTCGGAGGCCCCAGAAGAGCCAAACGCTCGGGCGTTGCGTAATGGCTGGGTGATGCAACGGGGGGGTGAAGAAAGGTGCATCTTTCGTGCACCTTCGGTGCTCTAAAGGGGGCGCCTGGGGTCCAAAGGGTGAATGACGGGTGCGCGCTTCTTCCCCCCCTTTGATTGCCCCTCCACTCACCATCGCCCGAGAAGACCGCCCAACAACTCCGACACCCGACCTTCGAGCCCTCTGAAGGGGGCCCTGGGGTTGGCGCCCTCCTCAGGTTGGGGAGGCCGCGGCGGCCGCCGGCGAGACCCTGGGCCGCGCCGCGAGCGCCACGGGGGAGACCCTGAGCAGGGGCTGGTCCTCACAAGGGGGAGCATCGAAGCAGAAATGACTAGAAACTGTCGGAGGTCCACCCTGGCGGCGCCTCCGGCGCAGCCCCTGGCGCGCTCCGCGCGCAAGGGAGGGGAGACCCAGCGCCGATCCAAGAAGTCAGTGCGGACCTCCGAAAAGGTTCTGTTTATGCAGTGTGTGTGTGTGTGCGTGTGTGTGTGTGTGTGTGTGTGCGTGCGTGCGTGTGTGTGTGTGTGTGTGTGTGTGTGTGTGTGTGTGCGTGCGTGTGCGGTGTGTGTGTGTGTGTGTTGCGTGCGAGAGTGTGTGTGTTGTGTGTGTGTGTGTGTGTGTGTGTGTGTGTGTGTGTGCGTGCGAGGGCGTGTGTGTGTGTGTGTGCGTGCGTGTGTGCGTGCGTGCGTGCGTGCGTGCGTGCGTGCATGTGTGTGTGTGTGTGTGCGCGAGTGTGTGTGTGTGTGTGTCTGTATAGTTTCTTTTCTGTTTCTTCCAGAGCGGGTGCCCAGACCGCCCACGCATTGACAAATGTCACGAACGATGTTTTTCGCAGTTGTTCGGCCTCATGGGGCCCTCGGCGGGCCTGGGGACCAGCAGTACAAAGATTCGGGATGCAATACCGGTCCTGGGGAAGGGGTCGGGACTTCTGGGGACCCCGTCCGGGGACCCCGTATTGAACAAATCAAGACAATGGATCTCTGGGTACCGATGCTGCTCGATCTCCAGGCCTTCCACGTGGGGTCAAAGTAAATGGGGTGGATGGATCGCGCCGCATCGCCGACGCAACGGCGATGCGGCTCGCTGTGGAGCTTGATTTTCTCCACGCCACTGGCGCCGACGCGTCGCCGACGTCGCCGATGCATCGGCGATGCAGTGGCGATGCGGCGCGATCATCCGACCCCATGTGCTCGGACCCCATGTGAGAGGCCTCCACGAACTCCCTCGTCGCGCCCTTGGAGAGGTCCAGGGGTCGGGGGTACCGTTAGGGGGGAGCTCCTGGGCGAAGAGGGGCAACCCCATCGCCCATTCATCGCAGGTAATGACGGGGCCCGATGACCCGCCCCGCGCAGGGACGAGCGTATTCTCAGTTTGGGGCCTATCGCCGATCCATCGGCGATGCATCGTCGACTGCGGGTCAAAGATACGGATGCGTACCGCTCGAATTTAATCCCTTCGTCGCAGCGGCACGAATTCCTGGTCAGAGCGCGCCCTTGGAGAGGTCCAGTGAGTGCATCGGCGGTGCGCTCAGGGTGGAAGGCAGAGGGAGCGGGGCTTTTTGAAGGCCCTGGAGGCCTCCTGCCTGCTGATAAGCCTTCTAAGCCTGATCCGAAGATACACACGTCTTCTCAGAAGCGCGAGGCCTTGGAAAAGTTCCGCCGCCTTCTGAGAAGGCTTGCCCCCTCAGATGTTCTCATCGTCTACCTTTCAGGTCATATCTCGGGCCTCGAGCGGCCGTTCGGGGCAACCCCGGGAACGCCTCTCGGCGAGGCGCAGCTGCTGGGCCGGATGGCCGCAGAGAACCGACGAAACAACGCTCGAGCTTGGGCGTCGCTACCGTCTTGCCCCCGCGGCATCGGCACCTCTTCCCCTGACCTTCTGGAGTGCTACAAAGTAGCCCTCCCGACTTCCAGACCGATCTAGACTGCTCAAGACCTCGTCCGGAATTCGGGTATCAAGGTCCTGGTGTTATTTTTTAGCCCTCCTGGAAGGTCAGGGTTGCTTTCCCCGGATCGGGTGTTGCTAGAAATGCCCCTGGCCACAGATGCCCCCAGGATTTTCGGGGAAGGGGGGGGGGGCGGGGAGCCAGATGGCCTCCAGAGCACCCCCCGCGAGGCCCAGAGCGCCCCTTCTAGGGGCTCCAACATGGAGCGACACGCGGGGGATACCTTTGGCAGCAGCGCCCCCCCCCCCCGCCAGGTCCTCGCTGTCCGCGTCCGTGTCGCGGACCTTCGGCGGAGCGGAGGAGCCCGCCGCCCCGCGGGCCGGCAGGAGCCGCCTCCGCGCCCCCTCTCTCGCCGCCCTCCCCCGCCGGGTCGGGCACAAACGGAGGGGGGAGGCGGGGAGGAGGAGCACGAGGGGGAATGGGAACAGGAATAGCAGCATGACGGTATCATATGAATCATGATTGCCGAGAGCGTGCGGCCTTCTCGGCGGCACTCCGCACCCTCAGGAGTAAGCCCTCGCGTGGCACGATCCAGGTTGGCTCTCCTGGTATCGTTCAGGGGCTTGTGGCACATCCCGTTGAGATCATTCCGAAGATTGTGCGAGCAACAGAGACCGCACCTCCCATAGAACCAGAGACCCCCCCCCGGCCAAGTGCAGCCTGACGCCCTTAGGCATATGTGAGACGACCAGATCGGCAATAACGAAATCGAAGCAGGGAGTGCCTAGCCACTCGGACACAGTGGTAAGGGTTGCGCTACTATGGCAACGGGTGCATTGGAGCCCGCATTCACTGAGAGAATGGGACTTGCTCAAACGTGCAGCGACTAAGGCATTAGGCGGAGGGGGAGTGGGAGGCGGAGACGCAGGAGCCTCACCAACAACACCGGTGGCAACCGAAATTCTGGCAACACGCCAGGCGGCTCTCCCAGCGGCTGCTGACTCGAGGGA